TAGAAAATGGATGGAAAAATCTTGAAAAAAAGACTGAAATCTGATGGGTATCAGAGTAGAGGGGTTTGGTTGTAAATGTGCGCCATACTTTTCAGATTTGCATGAGTCATTTTTGGGTTGTTTTCCTTTCACGTACCATCTATGCAGTGCTTCGTGTTGGTCTAAAAGATAAAATACCATTGAAATGCATTGAGGTCATTGGTTGTGGTATAATGAAACAAAGAAATTGTGAAGACGTGTGAATACTTTTCTGAGATGCTGTAAATCTCTTTGAAGCAACTCATACATAATAATAATAATAATAATAAAAACACTTTTTATTTATTTTCTACCTCAGTCAAACCTAACACCCAGCATTCTTAGAATGTGACGAGGCCAGGAGCAGATGAGCTAATTTATGTGGCCTGAGATCATCTTGTGCGTAGGCAGCACATTAAGGCAGAAATTTATCATTAATATTATGAGCAACATTCCTGCAGTGGTTCCTAAAACATGCTGAATTACAACGTGCCGATGACCAAAGTCAGTGTAAATCCAACCAAGACCCCGGATGAAGCTGGAGAAGCAGAGAGAGCGAGGGGGTCTGGTGGCATCCGGTCCCTGGAACGTTCTGGGCTGTGTTTCTCCACTCGAGTTTTAGATCTGCATCCGTACTCAGAGCAGACTCCAGATGGGTGTTTACTCAGTAAAAGCAGCACGCTGTACCCCCGGGGTGTTTAATGATAGCACACTGTGCTCTTTTAAAAGGGCAGGTGACGTGTGCAACTCCAAATTTCACCACTTTCAAGTCTTTTCTGATTCATTGGCAGAGACGTAAGCCCTTGGCAGAGGATTTGAACAACGGGCACCGCCTCGTCGAGCGTCGGCTGGCACGCAGGGATAGGGGGTAAGCAGGCGCGCGCTCCGGCAAAATGTCACCTTGCGTTAGCCGTGCCTCCCCTCCACCCCCTCTGCTTACCCCCTATCCCACCTCCCGCTGAAAACAACAACAAAACAAACAAACTACAGCTGCATATTTCCGTACCAGGCACCGGCCTGTCGAGTGTGATGTACGCAACCGACCGGTATCTTCCCCAGCAGAGCTCAGATTGTTTTGATATTTTTATTAAGATGTCCTCAATCATAAATCACCTCAAGGGGAGTGTAAGGGTGTGGGGGGTTGGTGGGAAGTGAGGCCTTTTCCCTTCTGCTCTGCACAGCATCAGATTACAAGTAGAAGACGGAGTTATCGGACGTCTCACCGCGTGTCTCCCTTCTTAACACTTCCTCCAGTGTCAAGACTTAAATTCAGATTACTTTCAAACATTAGGAGAAGGCAGAATATAATATCCATAACATTATGTAAATGGGCTCTTGTGTCACGGCTCGGACTGTAAAGCAGCCTTCTATCCTTCATCTGCTTTTATCAAAGCTTGAGGTAAAAACGGTCAGACAGGCCGGAAGCACTTCTCGCAGTGTCAGGGTTTGATGTCATATCGTTTTAAATAGGACATCACTGCGTGCTATTGTGCATCTCACCGTGTTATCGCCTCAAAAAGGGGGCACGTTAATGTGTTGTTTAGGGACAATACCGTGTCCATTTGCATCACAATATGGTTTCCCTTTTTCTCTCCCTCTCTCTGTCTCTCCAGACTTCTCAGCAGCCGCTCGGTGCTCCTGACTCAGGCCCGGCAGAGGCCGAGGCGTTCCGCCGCTGCACACGTTTCCGTGTCGTGTTAACTTGCCAGTGTGCGCAAAACTGTCAGGATCCCTTAAAGGCTTTGGATGCTATGTGTAATTCCTTTAACACAAGACTGTGCAGATATCCTTATCATTGAGGGGAATGGCATGCTCATGCCACCCTGCATCCCGCGAGCCTGCACAAGGCAGCTGGTAATTCATTTAATTTATTCAAGCTGACCCGCAGTGTGCTTCTTCCGCCTGCGTCCGGGGCCGGGATGTATGGCTGCCTGGACGCTTGACCGGACAACGGCGAGGTCATTTATGACAAGACAGAAAGTACAGCATCTTCCACAATCCATATCAGAAATAGAACAACTTGAGTTATGATAATACAGATAAACTTTATTTAAGCAGGTTTGTCCCACTGAGATCAAAAGATCTCTTTTACAAGAGAGACAACTTGTGGGTGATGAGATCTATCGTGGTCTTAAATACATTCAGATACTCGTGTTCTAAGTGGGGAAGCTGAAAGCGTTCTTCCCCAGTTCTGTTCTGACAGTAGGAATGCTAAAAATCACAAAGTCTTGAGACGAGAGGTTGTAGGCCTGTTGTTCAAAGGGGCAATATCATGTATTTTCTTGGCATATAGAACCATTTTATAAATCAGCAGTTCTGAAGTTCTACTAAGTGTTTGCTAATGGCTGCTGGCTAGTCTGTAGGAGCTCAGCGGGGGCTGCTCTGTGAGGCGGAAGCTCAACGCCTGGAAACTGCAGCTCCAATGAAGAGCTGTGCCTCAAAGGCGGGGCCAGGTCTACCCAGAACCGAGCCCCTCGTCCACCCAGCTGAATAGTTGCAACAGGAGATTAAAAGATTTCTTATACATGCATAAAAAATATCAATGAAAACACTCCAGGTATGCATTTGATGAGGGAAAAATATTACAACATGATGCAAAGCTAAAAAAAAAAAAATCAATACTACCCCTTTAAATTGAACAAAGATGAAAGATAAGGTATTGTCAACTTAACAATGGCTTTATAAATAAAAACATGCCAGTGGTCAGTGCAGCAGACATGCAGAGACGGTCATGTTACCTTAATACACAGTGACAGAGACGGCGATGAGTTCCCATGTCATCTGCATTTTGTCTAATCCTCCTCAACAAATAATCAAACCCAAATCAGATCCTCTTCGCTCTCACAGCTGACCACGTTCAGCACTCTGACTTGCAGCTGAAAGTTGTTGCTTCAAAGCGAATGTTTCTATTCCCATTCCCAGTCTGAGGCATTGTGGGTGTTACTCTGGATCTCCAGTCAGTGCAGACCAGGAGCTTTATCTCCCCTCATGGATCAGGCCACTCATTATGAAGTGGACTCCTCTAATGAGCTACGACTGGACAAAGGCCTTGGCTTGGGTTCAATTCAATATGAGGTTTGGGGGTAATAATAAGGTCGGTCCAGTTCTGTATCCGTGCTCGATAGGAATATGTTTTCCAAACTGACTGATGTGCAGCAACGTTGGCATCTTTTATGAGCATTTTTTATTTTTAATTTCTAGCTAATTAGATATATAACGTCATGATAATTATAAAGACTCACATTGATGAAGAGAGTTAGATAAACTGGAAAACTCAGGAGAAGAATTTCTTATTATTTGGATTAACCTTTAATACTTTAGATAAGTGTTCTCTGTACTATGTATGATTGAGGTATGATTTGTAGTTTATCTTTATAAGATAATTTAAACTTGTAGTCTAACAAACAGACTCGCTGACACTCAGCTAACACCCGATCGTATTTCAGTGGACTCCCGCCTGTTCGTTGCAGAATTTTCTGTGGACCGTAACTCCAAGTTATTGTAGAAAACTTAGCTATTTGCTGTTTTTTTGTAGCACATTTGTAAAATATTGAAAATAAAATGCAGCTTGATGGTCTAAACTACCAAGGAACAGTGCTACTTGACACTCTGTTGGGGTGTGTCCTGTCAGGTTGTTCGTTTCTTAGTTTTTAACCCAAACATACAAAAACAACTTGTTAAAGAGCATGCAGGGTCAATGCGACCCCGCCGGACAGCACACAGGTAAAAGACTTCTGGGGTTCAATTGACCCCATGGGAGGGTAAATACATTACAGCCGTTCAATATATCTGATGCAATAGCATATGCAACTGATCTTAAGCAGAGCAACAATTTTAATGGAAACTTCTGAGAGGCAGGGTGGAAAAAAGATGTGTTTTGGAAGGTTTTTGTGCTTGAACTTTCCACCATAAAGTCTACATTCACCTCAAAATGGGTGTTAGGGAAGGGAAAAGAATCCAGTTATTTGAATTCATCAATGTGTTACCTTGGACCTGTTTATTTTTTAGTTTAGGGGCAAAGGTGGCGATGGTGTTAGGAGTTTGTCTTGTAAATGGTGGGTTGCTGGTTCGAATCATGTGCTCTCTGTCTCAGTCGTTGTGTCCTTGGGCTAGACACTTCACCCGCCTTGCCAACTGGTGGGGGACAGAGGGATCAATGGCACTGGCCAGCCTTGTTTCTGTCAAACTATAATGCAGCTCACTACCATCAGGGTGTGGGTGACTATCTCGTATGAAAAGCTTTCAAGTCCTCTGGACTAGATAAATTGCCGGGCAAGTACATTTCGGTTCATGTGTAGAAATAAAAAGTCTTGACTTGAACAAAGTCGTCTCTTTAAGTCCCTGTCGGGATTCAGAGACGTCCGTCCCGTAGGAGATCGTAACCTTTCTTTCTCCCATTTGCGGTGAAGCCTCGCCGCCGGATGAAGGTAGAAGACAACCCGGTGGAGGTGCGTTCTGCCCACAGACCCACCTGTTTCACTTCCCACAATCTGCTGCACCATGTGGACCCCCAGATGTAGCCTGCAGAATAATCCACATTCCCACACTCGTGAAGGTGTCCATCTGGCTGCGCAGGCACTCGGTAAGCCTCGGCACCACACAGGCCCGGTGGTCACTGTTGCCGTGGGATTTAGGAGAACACATCTACTCTGTCTTTGGAAAGGCCTGAAATGGAGGTGGTGCCGGGCTAAGAGTGACCCGGTGGTGACAGGGAGCTAAAGCAGAGAGGAACAGAGCAGAACTCGCAGAAAAAAAAAAAAATCACAAGAAGTGTGATTGGACTGCACTAGCTGTGCCTCAGGCTCCAGTTTGGCACCAGAGGCGCCACTCTGCAGCTCCGCGTCACAGCTGCCAATGTTTAAACAATCAAAATTAAAAGTTTCCTTTGCAGAAGAGAATATTATTTCCTGTATTTTCCACTGACTGAACACAGACAGACCTGAGAAGCATTCAATGTAAACAGTTTTTATTTGTTTCCTCTTAGAAAAACTTTTCCACATAGTGGTTCAGAAAACATTCAACCGTTTCACAAACAGAACAAATTCCTATGCAGATAGATTAGGTAGACTGAAAGATATTGTTTTATAAAAGCAAACAATAGGTAACAATATAACCCACATTTTGACATCCATCCATCAGTGGTATAAATGACACATTCACATTCATTCTGGACTCTGTTGAAATATCTTTTTTTGCAATGTGGACCAATAAAAGATGCTGCTTCACTGAATCTTAAAATCATTTTATGACTTTGGGTGTTAGTCCAAGTCGCTCTCTAAAGCAATCCATTCACTTACAAAAAAAAAAAAAAAAAAAAAAAAAGCAATGTTCCTGTGGATGGAAGGCCTGCATCCTTTGGAAGACCACGTCCTTTAAATGTCTCAGGATTTTAAGGAGCTGACTTGTTAAAACTTCACTCATTTGCATAGACATGCTTTTTAATCTAATTTTTGCAAAAAAACAAACAAAAAAAAACTGTTTATTCAATCAGTTCTTTAATTTAAAAAAAAAAAATCACACTCCTTTTTTTACCAGCTTCTGTTTAGCACTGCAATGATTGCCAAGCAACACAATATACACCGAAGTAAGGGCTGGAAGAAATTTACATCCTGGTCAACCGGGTAGGCCTCGTCCTCCAAGGGACTTAAGCCCTGAAATAGGACACACCCTACTAATAACTGTCTAATAACTCAAGACAGATAGCTTCAACTTCCAACCTTCCTTGCATCTGAAAATCCAAAGTTTCTCTTTAACCTCATTTTAGTGGTGAAAAAAGTAAAGAATATGTTGATAAGCCTTAAAGGTGCTTGAACTGTGCAGATACGTTGTTCCCATTTGATGGATAAAGACATATCCCAACGTCTAACCTGTTGCGTTATGCTAGGCTAAGCTAATACATTGCTTAAGTATTTAAGTGAAGGCTGAGGATCAGCAGCTATGCCCAAAAACTACACAGCAGCTGCTGACGCCGTAGCTGCTGCATGAAGATAATCTGGAGCGAATCTGATGATAATATAACATGAGGGTGACTTGTTAGCACTTTTCTGTCTGTCTCATAATGGTTTGTGTTTCCTCGGCTTGTGTCTCTCTGGGAAGCGTTCCTCTCATTTGTGGGGCAGCAGCGGGACAGACGTTGCTCTCGCCCCCGTCCTCGTCACCACTTCACGGGCTATTCAATTAGCACAAGAAGCATGGGAGATGGAGCCATAATGGAGCTGATGAGATGCACAAGGACAGGTGACACTAATCAGAGCGGCGCCCCATTGTCTCTGTGTGGGCATCATTAAGGAAAGAGAGCGATTTCAGGCTCTTTTTTTCCTCTCTCCGAGCACGCACACACTTTCTCTCTCTTATCATCGGCTTGCAACTCGTGCAAATGTGCTTTCTGAACAAAGTGTGAGGTGAGTGGGTGATGCTGTTTTCAGCAGACGACACCCAAAAGAGTCAGGGTTTTTGTGAGATCCCTTTTGATTCAGAAGGCGACGAGGCATTCGCTCTTCCCCACGTCCGGGTTCTTGTCGTCTCCTCCGCCGGTTGACATTTGACCCGCCGCAGGTGACGCTTCAGATCTTTCCCAGCATTCCCCCCGTCTGCTTCTTGGCTGAACTGTGAAGGAGCTCCTCTCCGCCTGCCGGTACCGACCGCTGAGGTAACTCGACAGGCACCTGGGAAAACACCAGACACAAACCATCACCGTTTCCACAGCTCCCACTTTAACGGCCACGACTTTCAAAGCCTTTTCAATCGGAAAGACAATAAAACGTGACATTTGGAAGGGCTTGCAAAATCAGAAATGTGGGGTAAATTTTTATGTCACCTAATTAGTAAAGAGACTCCACCTGTGTTTGATGTGATCTCAGTTCTGTGAGGACGTTAGAGGTTTGCCCAAGAACATTAATGAACAAATAGAAAGACGAAGAGCATGGAACACAGCAGACAGGTCAGAGATAAAGCTTTGGAGAACTTTATAACCATACTTTGTGATATATTGTTAAAAAGAAACCTGTTTATATCTGTCAGTAACTCTATAAAGCTTTCATGGAGCCACAAACACATAAACTGCTCTTGGAAAACATTCCCATATGAAACAGGTTTTTTTCAGGAGCCTCTTATGTCCGTCATTAAGCTGCACACAGTAACTGCATTTAGTCATGTGTTTGAGTTTACTGACATTTACTGATGTTCTCGTGGAGCAAACCAAAAATATATATATTGTCAGTTTTATTTTATTATTCACCGTCAATAACTGCGGTTTATCACGAGAACTATAAATCAAAATTCTTATCAGGATAAGAAGTTGTTCACAATAAACGATAAACAATACGATAAATGCCCACCCTCAGCTGACAGGGCCGTCCCACCGGACAGTTTCCTCCTCTGCTTAGATCGCAGGAGGGTTACAGGTATGAATAAACAGAAAGTGAACCAAAGACACAAAAAGTTCTTGTAAAAAAGAAAATGCATTTGTGAGAGAATTTTTAGAAATCTCATCCACACAGACACGTCTTCCTTGTGTTCTGCTGGTTTCCATTTCCCCTCTTCCTCCCCAGAATGTGGTTTTACATGGTCTAAGCCCCGGCAAGGCAATGCATTTCTGTCTAATTAGCCACATTCAAAATGAGATCAAATGACTTTATTAGTGGAACAACATAATCCTAATCTCATTAATAAGAGTATTTCCTCTTACTAAGAGCGTCTTTACAGTGTTTGGGAGACTCCTGCTGAAGTCATTCTGCTTTAATTTGCACGATGTGTCCATTCAGTTGAACTTAACCATGTCTAACCAAATATTAAAGGAACCTGTTGCCATTTCCTGCAAAGTTTCTGTAAAGTGAATCAGTGCCGTTGTACACAGTGATCTTGATTTGCTTTATATCTTGAGATTGAGATTTGGAAGTATTTCATTTGCTTAAAACAAGAAAACAAATCAAAAATTCTCAATATCGACTGATACGAAACGCTTATATGCTGATGTTTTTCAGCCATATTGTTCTGCTCTGCACTGCTTACTTAACTTATGGCCTAAAACTAAGGCAGTAAAATCAGAATTAAAGTACGCAGGGTTCACTTCAAACGATCATTAAAGTTTATTAGTCGGGTCGGATCAGGTTGGACGTTTTAGCTCTGATCTGAACTACACTGATTGGTGCCAGCATCAATCAGTGAAAACGGACGAATGTCCACTTGACACCAACAGTACTGGTTTGAAACAGTGGGGAAAAAAAAGTCTGACTGTCTCGCATATAACACGCACCAATAAAGGGTGAGGAAAATGATTGCGTGGTCGCTTCCGGAGTCACAGCAGCCGCGACGGAGAAAATCCGTCTTCAGTCGTGATAAAAGAGCTCTGTGCCATTCATGCTGCTGCATACTAACTATCTCAGCAATCAGTTCATTATCATTAGGTCTATGTGACTGATGGAAGGGCTAATCGTGATAGCTTGACTCCGAGGTGGTCGAGCAGCAACACTTTGTATCATTTCCTGCAATCAGCAGCCACTTAATATCAAGACATACACCTTTCAGTGGTGCCTGGCACCCTGATGGAAGGCCGGCCAAATCAGGACTCATTATTTCCAGCCGGACTGTTTGAACTATGAGAGTTAATATGTTTTAATTTAACATTTTTAGGAGCTGGAAAGCACAGTGGACGAAGGCAGAGAGAGAGAGAGAAAAAAAAAAAAAAAACTCCCCCGGTAGATTGAGAGAATGGATAACCTCGGCCCACATAGTAATTGGCTGCAGAGGCAAATCAATGGCCTGCATCAGAATTGAAGCATTCTGCTTGTTTACAACATCTATCATTTGTTCTTATCAAGCGTGATCAGAGCAATTTTCCCTCCCTTAATATAGGTTTGATGGCACAAAGAAAAGCTCAATTCTCCCAGAATTGGAAAACACATTTCTTGCGCTTTGTTTGTTACTAAACTGTCAACAGATAAGAGAGTCCACAGTATCAATTCGGGGGGGTTGGGAGGAGGACTGGGGGGGATTCATCTTCCAATTGCGCTCCTGCGTTTTCCTCTGGAACAGCTGGAAATATAGTCCAGAAGAGAAGCCTTTGCTTCAGAGCGTTTCCGCGCAGAGTCGGCTCCGACTCACAAGGATGTGCAGTTGCCACTTGGAAAAGGCTCCCATATATATATATATATATATATATTATATATATATATATATATATATATATATATATATATATATATATTGCTCTTACACATCTAGAGAAGGGCGACCCGTCCTCAGGCAGCTCTCCAAACTGCTGGAGACAGTAGCGTGAGGTGAGAGAGCAGTGTAGGCCACTTTGTATCATGTCAGCGCTTGTGCTTAGACGCCGTCTCCACAGTGTCCCTTGTCACCAATCACATCCTTTTAAACCACCCAGGGAGCTCGACGCCACCCCACCCGCGCACACACACACACACACGCACGCACTCCTTATCTGTCAATGCCGCTTAAATAATGTAATTAATGACTTAATTAACATTTCCATAATCTATTTTAATAAATCTAACACGGCATAATGAGAGTTTCTAACCTCCGGGCGGTGGCATATAAAAATTCACAGCGCGGCGCTGCGCGGTCAGGGCACTGTCTCAGCACCACACACTCTCACCATGACAGCAAAAGGAAGGAGAGGGCGCATATTGTGTGACAGCCTTCCGAAAGGCGGTTCCAGGCTGACAAATGTCATGTGACTCGGTGAATGTGTCCACTGGGCGACCTGCAGCGGGAAGAGGAGGGCGAACCGAAGGAAGGACCAGTTTGAAGGCACGCGAGCGCCCACGGCAAATAAGAAAAAATAATAAAAACTCGCCGATCCTTGAAACTGAAGGAACGAGACGTTTTACTCTGAAAGCACAGAGTTCTTTTCTTTTGTTGTTTTTTTAAATGTGGGTAAACAGTAAACAGGAGTCTTTAATGTAAACTGGAGTCTATGACATTTTAAGATGAAATGAAGAGAACTTATTCACATACAGAAATCAAATGTAAGGTTGGCATAGCATGTTTACTTTTTAATTAAAAAATAAAAACAACAAAAATCATATAAAGTTGTGCAACTTTAATAAAAAATATTTAAAAAAGAATATTTGTTCAAAATATCACTATGATGTGACTGTATAAAGTCAAACAGATAATCTGTAAGCAGAGCTAACTAGAAACAACCAATCAGAACCAGGAGGCGGGCCTTAGCGCTGTCAATCACCTCGCATTGGTCTCATCATTTCCGTTCTGATCTGGACCTTCCTGATAGCATAGCATCAGGAAGAAGCTATGTTAATTTGCATAGAAACCGATTACAGCAGATAAAATGTTTTCCTATACAACAAGTACACAAGCTTGATTGACAGCACTAAGCCCCTCCTCCCGGCTCTGATTGGTTGTTTTTGTTTGGGAGCCCCTCTTCAGATGGCAGTAGCTCAGGGAAGAGCAGGAGGAGATACATCTCTGCAATTAGCATCTTAATTCAACTGTAGCATTACATAGTTAACATTACTAGCGTAGCGGTCTCCATGTGTAGACCTGCATGTTTTCTTTGAGATTTCCAAAACCCTGCCAACATTTCTGAATCTCATGTTTCATGAAACTCATGGATTGAAAACTCAAAAGATTAAAACCGGAACAACTTCTGGTTCTAAAGCCTAAAGTGGTGTCGTCCAATCAGGTTTCCCTCCGACATCTAATGCTGTGTTTTCTGAATTTCTTGCTGGGCTTAGTTAATGTTGTGTTTTTGAATATGTTGTCACAATAAGCAACAAATCAATTAATTGCACCATAAATTAAAATGAGCCCAATAATTTCCATTTGCATGATTTATCATTTTTTATCATTCAAATACTGGATGCTAAAAGTTCTCAGTCTGGTGTTCTTGTCTCCACCAGCCCTTTCTTTGAAGGCCAATTTTACTTATAGACTTCACAATTTATTTTATTATTGTTTCTGTTGTTTTGTTTATGTATGTCAGATATTTAGAATGTCTTCTTGTTCCAATTGTTCATTAGGATTTAAAATGTATTGATCTTTGAGAATTTGTTCTTGCATCATTATGCCACTGAGACTTGAAAATGTTATCAAAACAATAATATTTATCACAATAACTTCTGGGACAACTTAGCAAGAATTGCTATGGTGACAGGCCTATTGTTGCAGCGTTCTTCATGTTGTCGTTGCGTTTCATGATTTGTAGATGCCGTTTGAACTCCAGGGCCACCGTATGAACGAGTGGAGGACATGAGCAACAGGAGGAGATTAGAAGGCGGAGTGACGGGTGGGAGTCACGGGGTCGTGGAAGGAGGGGCCGCTCCTTACAAGGCCTCACAAACCCCGGGGCCGACGTGTGATTGAGATACACACTGACAGGGGGCAGCAGGAGGCTGGCACATCCCAGGCAGTACGAGCAACACGCGGGGGCCACGGGGTCTTTAAAGACCACCAATCCTAATGAGGGCGCCCACCAACCCGCCCTATTATTCTGGTAATAACACAACAAAGCATCAGTCAGTGGAGAAACCTGTGCGGAGCAACCTGTGTTTCCACCCCCTGACAATCCTGAGGCTCTGCTCTTTTCCTCACAAGACACTCAGTGTTGTTTTTGGTTTTTTTGTGTTGTTTTGGGGGTTTTTTTGTCACCGATTCTTACAAAAATAGGTGTTTGCTTTTCTAACCACGGCACATCCTCGCCGCGCTCCGGGAGTAGAATACCTGCGGAGGAGAAGTGCCAAGAATGTGGCCTGTTGGAGGCGGCTGAACACGCTGTAAACAAACCCGTTTCCTGTCATAAAATTACAGCTCATTAGCAGCGTGGACAAGGCCTTCAACAACATAATGATGCAGAAGCTCTCCACCGCTGCCACCGCATTTATTAATTACCAGCTGACTTGCCGCATTCCTCGCAAAGGCAGTTAATAGGCGGAGAAGGAGAAGTTATGGGCCTTGTTGAGTTAATTACAAACAGCCTCTCTTCCTCCAATTTGAGACAAAACACCGAAGGAAGGACGCACGCACGCACGCAGAAGACAACTTTTGGTTTCGCCGCTGGCGCAAGAAGCAGTTGCAGTTTATCTGAAGGTCCTCTCTGCTGTTACAAAAAACAAAAAAAGAGAGAAAACATTAACTGGGGATTCTTTTTTCACGAAGAGCGCCTCTTATCTAAATCTCAGCTATTGCTTGTCGCGGGGAAAGGTGGAGAGGTCACAACGGAAACATAGGTCGATTTTCAAAAACAAGTATAATGAATTGAAGTTCTAAGTATCCCAACTGAGTAACTGAGACTATGGCAATTACTGATTACATAAAACAGTTTTTTTCCCCTCTCTCTCTCTCTCTCTCCCTCTCTCTCTCTTTTAATCTGATTACGGCGTCCACCATATGTTGCTTTTCTAATCAGAGAGTAGATATCTAATGTAATATTTACGAGGCGGATGTTAATAAAAACAGACTGTTCATTTACTAATGGTGTACAGTACAGCAGGCATCAATCCAATTAGCAATATCATAATAAGGGATACGCTGAAAATAAAACGGAGGGGGCGATGCTGTGGCTGGGGGTCAGAACTAACTAGTTTTTACAGTTCTTTGGATGAGGGAGACATCATGTAAACATAAACACACGTGTTATTAATAAGTGTTCTTTAGATAAAGTGTAACTAGGGAAAATGAATTCCTGATAATTGATTAGAAGTGTACCAGGAAGGGATCGCTCTACATTAAAACATTGTCTTTCTTGCCAAAGAGAAGTCTTTCTCACAAAGCACCGATTTATGTGTGGCTTTTGTCTATTAAAGTAATTGTGAGCTTGCATTAGTTTGAAGGCATTGTTTTAGGACTTTTACTTTGAAGTAAGAAAGGAAGCAGCTTTTCGGTTGCACTGAAGCTGCAAACCCATTCAAGGCCTCCTCCAACATCTTCACCGTCTTTAGTCAAATACTTTGGGTAATCAGTAAAATAAAACATTTTTGATAAGATTAAAAACTGTTTGTGGAGTCTGGGAGACATTTATGTCGGCAGACATGAAGAAAAGCGTCTGACTCTGATTTGTGTTACATCTACACCTGTTGGTGATAGAAACACTGAACAGCAAGAATTAAACTCTGGACCTTGTTGCTACCAGATACCTCATCCCTTCATTTCAGCTTCCAAAATAATTTAAAGCAGCTCACAGTAAACACTTAACTTTATCAGCAACTTTAGCTGCTTGTAAAGTTAGTCGGTAAACGTTCAGCCTGAGTCTGGACTGCAGTGTTGTAGACAAGGCCACATAACCTGAGACCAAGTCAAGACCAAGACTAGCACCCTGCGCTACCTGAAACAATAACATGTGATATGCAATCAATATTGATGATCAAATTGATATGAAAGACTCACATTCCCATGAAAACACCTAGATATTAAATACTTAGAGCTGAAATAAAGGTAACCAATATTAAAAGTAGAACAAACTCTTTATTCTGCTTATCTAAAAAGATCAAATGCCCTGGGCATCTGCCCATATCAGAAGTCATAAAACCAAAAATGACCATTCTTAATTTTCTCAAAGCGATCTCTCATCTCGAATGTCTCATCTTGAATGTGTAATTACACCCAATTAGAGATATAATAGTGTTATAGTTTTCATTATTATTTATTTTAATTTGTTGTGACTTTTTATTGCCTGTTTTATTTAGTTTTAATTATTTTTTAGAGTGGGCTTGTTGGTTTGTATGAGTTAAATATTGTTTAGTTTTTCCATACTTTGTCTCTTATTTAGGTGCAGAATTCAAAAAGGTCAAAGTATTGGATTGACAGAAATTTGCTAGCAGCTGACGTAAACTGCTTGCGTTGGGGACAAAAAAAAAAAAAAGATTTTCTATCAGTACCAAAAGCTAATAAATAAGTTCAAAAATATAAAAACCAAGGGCATCATATCTATAACTTCGATATACTTTAGTCGGTTGTAGCTACTGCTTTTCCCCGTTAATTATCGTTTCTATTTATTTCAGGTAATGAAAAGCTTTTCTCAGTTTCAGTCTTGGTTATTTGGTTAGCTTTGGTTAGCTGTTATAACCTTGGATATTGTATGACAAAATACTCACATGACGAGCAGCAGCTCCGTCAGGAAGCCAAAGAGGGCCGCTGCCACTTTAAAGGTGATGGGAGGTGAAGGGTCATGGAAGGCCGTCATCAGGCTGTGGACCACGAAAGGCGCCAGTCCCATCAGAAGCAGCACGGTGATCAGGACGAGCCACATCTTCCACTGGGAGCTGACCGACCGCCATGGAGACGTCCTCTGCAGCTGGTACTGGAGAAGAGAGCGAGAGAGAGAGGGATCATCACATCTGATTTCACTTATCACCAGAAACTTTGTCAACTAAAGGAAGAATAACAAAAAAGTTCAAAATAATTATAAGAAAATGTTGTTAAGTTCGTGAGCCAATTTAGTTGGGCTCAAATATATAGCTTAAAATGTTTTTTTTTTTTGTGTTAACTTTGTTATCATTAACAAATTGTTTTCTAGTTCCTTTATCAGATCCAATATACACTCCTTTCCCAAAGTTCACACCGCTTTTAGCTTTTGTCACATTTTATCACAATTAAATACATTTCCGTTACATTATCTGGTTTTTATCATATTGGGAACAGAAAAAGATTCCAGAAATTCTCTCAAAAAAAAAAAAAAATGGACATTTTCGAGTTTGAAAAGTCAAAAATGTTTGTCTTTTCAAACTCAGAGTTGTTGTTTTTTTCAGAAAAGTTTCTTTCTGGAAAATTTGAGAATAATCTCAAATTTTTGTATTTATTTTATTCTTGAAAAAAGGAAATACTGGTAATTGACTTTTGGAGCTCAGAAATTTCTTTAGAAAATATTCAGATTTTTTGGTAGAAATTTACTCCTTTTTTTAACATCTACAATGGATCGACCACACCATCATAGGGTCAAAGTATGCCACACTTTAATTTTTTAGTATTGAAAACCACGTGTTATTTTCATTCTAATTTGCAATTATGTTCCTCACTTGATTGGTCTATCACAAAAATATCAACTCAAAATTTGTGTTTGGAATGTGAAAAAAAAAAAAAGCTACAGGGATGCACATACTTTAGAGCATTAGTTCATATTAGCCTTCTGCAGCTAACAGATTTAAGATTATAATAATAATCAATTTCATTTATCATCCTCAGCTAATAAACATGGTAACATTTTTTTGGCAGTTAGCTGTTATTAGAAGCTATTTACATTGAAATATTTCCCGTTTATGTCCATAAATGTACTATCACTTCAAGTCAACTCCAATAAGCTGTAAACAGCTGACAGATCTGGAAACACATTAGAAATAGTGATTTATTTATCTTTTTATTTAACTTTCTCATTTAGCATACAGTTACAAAACTGAGAAATTACAGGCAGAGATTTTTATTAAACTTCTAAACGTATCGCCTACTTACAGAGCGCTTTGCACAAATAGCTTCGAGACCATTGGCCGTCTATATTCCCACTAAACTTCAAACATCCAGTGTTCTGCAGCTTCAGACAGTAAACATGCTGCGAGTTACAAAGCTAAAGTGGAATATAAAGTTCCTATAAGACGACCTCCTGTTCAATGTAGCATGACCCCTTGGTAATAAACCACAGTCGGAATAAATTTAAACTAACACAGCTTTCACTTTAGGTTTAGAACTGTTATATATAACACACAAAAAAAAAAATCAACACAAGAATAAAAACACATACTCATGCATAAAAAACACTAAAAGATGCATGCAGTCATTAAGCCCGCCTGCAAACACCGCCTTAAGTCCTGGGCAAATATGGCTTTGCTCTGGAGACAAACCAAACCACTTAAACAATGTTTGATTAGCGTCTGGAATTCATCTGCAAATGCACACTCGCCTCAGCCTCTTTCATGGCGGCTATTCATTAATTAGATTCTTTGTGCAACTGAGCTATCCTCAATGTTTAAGGTTACATCAGGCCCCACTAAGTGGCTGGCTGATAACAGAATGCATCCATCTTCATTACTCAGGCTGCTGTGTCTGGGCTTGCTCCTCCAGCAGTGCTCTGTGTCAGTGGGCTCTGAAGAACTCAAACATTTCATCACACACGGATCCTGAACTTTTTGGATTTGAGTCACTCTGACTAGATTAGCGGGTTGCAGTTTTTAATTCTTTTGAAGTTTCTTGCTTACATTTGGAGGCCATGCAGGCTGACAAACAGCAGCATCGTGTGCAGGTTGTTAGAAAAGGTGTCGTCCTCTTAAATCAGTGCTTCTCCAACTTTTTCAAGTTATGACCACTTGACCCGTCTAACAAACACTCACGGACCACCTCACTTGAAACTGCCGCTGCAACAACACAACGTTTTGTTTCAGCATTACGGGAATTAGAGAACTAAACGGAAAACCTTCTTAATAGACCAACAGCCAAAAGTAATGTAATCAATGATATGACTACAGTTCAAACTTTATGTGACATTATGTTGCTTTGATTGGTCGATCTTTTATAGGAGAACCATAACTAAAATTATGAGCAGGATAACTTATAAATGCATAAACTGTAACCCCAACTCATTACCATCACCACCAGTGTGTGGAGCATTACTATAAAAATTAAATGCCTAAAAGGTTTTAAAAAGTTGTAAAGCACAAATAATTGCATGGCGTTTCAAGAAAGAGTATTTAAGGAGGTGGAAGGAGTTGTTGGGGACATTATGTATTTTCCAGACACATACAGTCATTTATACCACAATCAAGTAACTGTTACCTTCAGTCGTTGTGTGAAAATATATACAGTATTTATATATACTGTATTTATATATACTGTATATATATATATATATATATATATATATATATATATATATATATATATATATATATATATATATATATATATATATATATATATATATTTGACTTTGCGGAACATCCACATGTGACACCTTGAAACTGATGTGAAATTGTCATAAAATGAAGTCCTTGGCTTTTCTAAAACCCTTTAGTTTCATTTAATGGATTTGGTGAAAAATGCCATCTGACTTTCAGACATATTTGAGATTTTTGACAGACTGCAGCAGGTAACATTTTCAAAACAAACCAAAAACAAACCAGATGAAGGCCAGCCGCAGAGGGGCCAATAACTGAGTGGATTTTCATGTTTGTTTGAAACAAAAATTCATGTATGTGAATTTCTCTGAACATGAATTAAGTGCTGTGGTGTTTTTTAGTATGTTTACGGCATATTGCCATGGATTGAAGTTGTTCAAAATTCAAACATTTGAATTGGGCTGCCAACCAGCACGCTTTCAAAGAGACTAACCCTGGTTCCAGTGAGTGTTGCTGGTCATGTGGTTGATTGTAGTGGAGAAATTTGAACTTGGGCGCCACGTTTTCCTCAGCCGAAGAAGAACATTTGTTGTGCAGGTAGCGCACATTCATCAGCCGTCGACTGGGTTCCACAGCGTCTGGTTGTCACAGAGATCATCCCTGGATGCAGCTTGGACCAAACAGGTAACATGGTCGTGTTTCTACCCCCACACAGAAGTGTTACACATAATGTTTTTCTCCTGAATCGCTGTTGCCTCCCAGATATCTTGGAGGAATGTTAAATAATGTTCAGTGCTGCATTTGTTTAAACGATGGGTCAAAATTTCTGGCTGCGACTTTTTGGGGATAGCACTGTCTCCCTTTTGGTTTCATAGTGTGACAGCTGCTGTTCATTAATTATCTGCTTTCGTGTGTGTGCGTGTGTCTACTTCTGGACGAAGAGGGACTTATGTGGAAATATGCAGAAATTGTATTTGGGTTGACCAGCTATTAATATTGATTGTACATAGTGACCCACTTTTAGAATGTGTGGATTTAAATAATCCCAATACGGATGCTTCACTCCTCTATTGATTGATTGATTTAGTCTTTAAAGGTCAAAGTCACAAAACATGAGTGTGTAAACAAACAGTGTCGAATTTTAAAGTCATCCAAGGCTTTTGAATTATGGTTTGACTCTATGACAGCCGTAGCTCATGTGACAGATATCAATATACAGATGACAGGTTTTACCCGGAAGGGTGAAAACTCCAAAATTTCACATAGCAGTGAAAATACTAAACATTTCTATTTTGTTTCCTCTGATGTTCTGACTGATGCTTTGATTCTGTGCAAAAACGCAGTTCTTCAAATTTCTGGAAACAATTTTCTTTTTCCATTCAGGGTAACATAAAACGCTTAAAAAGCAACAAGCTGCGCCCTTACTTGTGCAGCTCTGATTTACTGATTTGGCCTTGCTGTCACTGAAAGAGGCTCTGATGTGTGAGACAGCATCACATTTTAAATACGAAATACAACATTTCACTTCATTTAATTGCTTTTTGTTTTTTATCCAAAGTTGTCAGTGACTTTGCAGTATTTTTCTTTTTACAAATAATTTAAAAGGTGGATATTATATAAAATTGATTGGTGTCAGGTGATGCAAATATACATTTCTTTTAATATATACAACATTTTCATCATAGTTTCTTGATTTTCCAATAATATATCACAGCTATTACTGTCTAGAAAACACAATATCTGTCTTTTAAAGAGGTCAGGGCAATTGATGAAAGGAGTTCAACTCTTTACCTCTTCAGTTGGGCTAAACCCAACTGAAGAGTATCCATTCGGTGAATATCTTAAAACATCATTTTACTTTATATAAAATACGTTTTTCCTTGAACTGTCCGATATTAAATCAGATTCAACTCTTCTTGAGGTCATTTCCTTTCTGTCCTCGGAAGTTAGTTTTGTCTTGTTTCAAGTGAACTAAGACATTTGCACTAGAAAGTAGAGCAAAATTACTTGATAATATTTAATGTTTTTTCAGGGAGGAAAAAGGAGGAAGTTTGTAAGTTTGGGGTTGGAGGGAGGGACTCTGCTGCAAGAGAGATTGGTGCACTTCACAAAACAGTCGACATAATGAGGAAAGAACATGGAAATATTGAAGATACACCTCAAGACCTTCGTCACAGAGCAAAAGCTTGGGCACAAATCGGTCTTTCAAATACATAAATACCCTTGTAAACCCACCACATTAGTCATAGTAACATAACGACAATGTCAATGCTTTAAAATAAAACCTCTTCTTTTGAATTATACATTTTGGTTTGCTAACTTTCTACAGTTAGAGAAAATGAGCAAACATGAGAATTTGAGTTCATAAAGACCATGCAGTCTGCTGCAAACAAGGTCAAAGCTGTAGTGGCTGTGTACAAAGATTTTAAGCAGAAAATGTTTGCAGTCCAAGTTGAGCCAGAGAAATACGGTGGACGAG